CACGTCACAAGTTACTTGCCTGCACGTTACAAGTTACTTGCCTGCACGTTACAAGTTACTTGCCTATAAGTTACATGATTACAAGCTACGTTTTACAAGTTACAATTTTTACAAAATACATGCTTGCAAGTTACAAGTTGCCTTGCTTACAAGTTACATGATTGCAAGTTACATGGTTACAAGTTACAAGTTACAAGTTACATGGTTACAAGTTACAAATTACATGGTTACAAGTTACATGGTTACAAGTTACAAGTTACATGGTTACAAGTTACAAGTTACATGGTTACAAGTTACAAGTTACATGGTTACAAGTTACATGGTTACAAGTTACAAGTTACAAGTTACATGGTTACAAGTTACAAGTTACATGGTTACAAGTTACAAGTTACATGGTTACAAGTTACAAGTTACAAGTTACATGCTTAACGGGCATGGGAGTAAATTCCGACGGACCATTCTGAGCCGGTGTCCTGTAGGAGGGTCCGACACTTAACTCAATTTGATTCCGGCAACTCCTGCGACGCCGCTGGTGTCAGGCTAGTTATCGACTAGTTGACCAGCGGCATGCGAAGCAGATCATTCCGTGGGGGGGATACAACGTCGTCTCTTAGCGACGGGCGGATGCCACAAGAAATAATTTGTGTGAGTTCTAACACTTAGTGTGTGTGTGTGTGTGTGTCACGTGTGACTCCAGCAGGGTGGTCAAAGCTGGAACTAATAGAAACACGGAGGACCGGGGTGAAAAGGGGATGAGGGATATCTAAAAAAACGATTCAAATCGCTCCAAAGAAAGGCACCAAGATCACCCAGCCCCCAAAAGTCAACAACTGTACTTGGTTAACTATTGATACACTTATCCCACTTCGCCGATATAACAGCCGCATCTGGTCATTCTGATAAATGTAAAAATAAAATTAAAACAATCATTCCCAACATTTAAAACAATCATTCCCAACTTTAAAAACAATCATTAACAACTTTAAAACAATCATTCCCAACATTTAAAACAATCATTCCCAATATTTAAAACAATCATTCCCAACATTTAAAACAATCATTCCCCAATATTTAAAACAATCATCCCCAACATTTAAAACAATCATTCCCAACGTTTAAAACAAACCACAAAAAAAAAGGCCCCGTGCTGGAAAAAAGAATACGTTTAGAGGCTTTGATCGGCCTTTAACTGAGTACCTTATAAATCTCCCCCTGGACTGCACTCCGATGGTCGATTGTTATTTCTGTCATTATCTTTGACGATATTGGGTTGTCTTTATTTAGTTAACAAAACCACACCCACTGTAATAAAGAAGTAATCGATCATTTTTTTATATATATATTTTTCTTCTTATTCACTCCTTACAGTGGAATTTGGATCAAATTAGGTGGAGCTGTGATTTGATGAAATAAATATGCAATAACGCCAACTTCATTTTTCAGTTAATAGGAAACTTTTGGTCCTAAGAAACCATGCAAGCCTGCAGGTGGAAAGACCAAGTATTCATATGAAACTTTTGGTCCTAAGAAACCACGCAAGCCTGCAGGTGGACAGACCAAGTATTCTTATGGAACTTTTGGTCCTAAGAAACCACGCAAGCCTGCAGGTGGACAGACCAAGTATTCTTATGAAACTTTTGGTCCTAAGAAACCATGCAAGCCAGCTATTGGAAAGACCAAGTATTCATATGAAACTTTTGGTCCTAAGAAACCATGCAAGCCTGCTATTGGAAAGACCAAGTATTCATATGAAACTTTTGGTCCTAAGAAACCATGCAAGCCTGCTATTGGAAAGACCAAGTATTCATATGAAACTTTTGGTTCTAAGAAACCATGCAAGCCTGCAGGTGGAAAGACCAAGTATTCATATGGAACTTTTGGTCCTAAGAAACCATGCAAGCCTGCAGGTGGAAAGACCAAGTATTCATATGAAACTTTTGGTCCTAAGAAACCACGCAAGCCTGCAGGTGGACAGACCAAGTATTCTTATGGAACTTTTGGTCCTAAGAAACCACGCAAGCCTGCAGTTGGAAAGACCAAGCATTCATCTCTTTCTTTTTTTTTTTTTTTTACTTTACGAATCATCGTGTACTTGGGCTTGGGCTTTTCGTTTCAGTGTTAGTTCCGGTGATGACTTTAGGTGTAGGCGATATAGGCGGCTGACTAAAGTAGCATTTTTTTCAAGGGAGGGGGGCCGAGTGCATTCCCTTGTTAACAAGTTGTTATGAACTAAGATCATTTTCTTTCTCATCTGTTAAGACTTGATGTGTAATGTTTTGTACTCGCCGAAGGAAGCTTTCGGTCGATAACTCCGTAGTTTTGTTATACGGTATCGTTTATTATGTTTATTATGACTGTTTGACTGCAGTCTCCCCCAATATTATTCACAAACTGACTTACACAAGACACTAGAGAACAAAAAAGAATCTATTCGTGAAAACCATTCTTCACGTTAATTTAGCGTATCGAGACGCGAAGAGTCGGGTGCGTCGTGTAAACTGCTGCTTCTGCGTAATCGGTCAGACTGGTACATTAGTGACTTCATGGCATCAAGGGGTCAGTGGACAGAAACAGTGTGAGAACCAATGCAATAAAAGTCAATGGTTGAGACCCCCTTTAAAAAAATGAAGTGCAACATTTCTGTAAAAACTAGGGTGGGTGGGGAGGCAAACAGCAAACTTAAGACTGTGTTAAATAATATCTGGCAACACACAAACTTTCCTAACAGAAAAACGTTCAGGAATCAATTTCATGCGCTTTTTAGAAGTTGGAGGCGCAAGACGCGCGGAAATGAGCTGTGCAAATATAATTCGGGCGCGCACCTAGGGCGACCGTAAATTGGTGCGTTGAATAAGTCATGACCAGATACTGCTTGCTCATCTTATGGGTGAAATTAGCTTCGTTTTCAAACTGAGCTGGGTGACAAAATAACGTTGTAACTTGCAATCAATACCTTCATTCAAATCCAAGAAACAAAAGAATATTTAAAAATAGAATGATTTCATATACCCCTAATTTAAATCGTGTGTCTCTTCCTTAATTATATATATATATATATTGTAATTTAAAAAAGGAACAGGAAAAAGGTGTGTGTGTGGGATTGGGGGGGGGGGGGGGGGGTTGATACAGGTACCTTCATTGTGTGAGTATAGTCACCAAACTTGAGACTGTTGACAATTTTATGAACAGTTTTAAGATTGCTAAAAATGTGTCTACGGTGCTTAAATAATAAGTTTCGTTTAAAAAGTAGATCAAACCGTTTTTTTAAATTATTATTTAACTACCGGTAATGTTTATAAAATACGTTTCAAATTGTAAGTGTTTACTAAGAAATATTTTTTTTTTAAAACACACAAAAATTCGTACAGTTGAAGCTCATATATTTCAATTCTTTCCAACCTCAGGCTATTATTTAAATTAAAGGACTTACACTTGAACATAAAAAAAAAATGTATTCCATGAATGACCCAAAATATTGAACTAATTAGGCTTGTTTATCATGGTAACATTTAAATCAGTGCACATATGTGAGGCTATTTTATATCTGTCAGGTCAGTGTACATATGTGAGGCTATTTTATACCTGTTAGGTCAGTGTACATATGTGAGGCTATTTTATACCTGTCAGGTCAGTGTACATATGAGAGGCTATTTTATACCTGTCAGGTCAGTGTACACATGTGAGGCTCTTTTCTAAGTCAGGTCAGTATAAATATGTGAGGCTATTATACAGTAAACATCTGCGAGGTCAGTGAACATCTGTGTGTCAAGTGAACATCTATGATGAGGCCAGTGAACATCTAAGAGGGCAATGAACATCTGTGAGGCCAGTGAACATATGTGAGGCCAGTGAACATATCTGAGGACACTGAAGATATGTGAAGCGAGTGAACATATGTGAGGCAAGTGAACATCTGTGAGGCCAGTGAACATCTGTGAGGCCAGTGAACATCTGCAAGGCCAGCGAACATCTGTGAGGCCAGTGAACATCTGTGAGGCGAGTGAAGATCTGCAAGGCCAGTGAACATCTGCGAGGCCAGTGAACATCTGCGAGGCCAGTGAACATCTGCGAGGCCAGTGAACATATCTGAGGACACTGAAAGAGGCCAATGAACATCTGTGAGGCAAGTGAACGTATGTGAGGCGAGTGAAGATCTGCAAGGCCAGTGAACATCTGCGAGGCCAGTGAACATCTGTGAGGCCAGTGAACGTATGTGAGGCGAGTGAAGATCTGCAAGGCCAGTGAACATCTGCGAGGCCAGTGAACATCTGTGAGGCCAGTGAACATCTGTGAGGCCAGTGAACATATCTGAGGACACTGAAGATATGTGAGGCCAGTGAACATCTGTGAGGCCAGTGAACATCTGCAAGGCCAGTGAACATCTGCGAGGTCAGTCAACATCTGTGAGCCAAGTATTTATATGTGAATAAGAGCCATTAAGTAAGTGAGAATTTCATAGTCACTAATTCAATAGTAAACTGCTGACACTGAAATAACACTGTTCAGTGTGTTACAGAAGTAGAGGAACATATCAATGGTAAAAAGATCCCAAGTAGTTCAAGTAGTGATTTCATACATTAATGCACTATGGAATTCAATCTTAATTTCGGATGAGTGTTGTCAAGAAAGAAAAAAAAAAAGACAGAAATTATTCATTGTTCAGTTTTCTCACTGTGATTAGGGTTGGCTGTTGAAATTTTGTGAACCCGTTTGTAAGACTATGTTCAATTAGTCACTCACTAAATTGTTGAAAGATTATTTGACTGAATATCACATCTCTCTCTCTCTCAGGCATGCCTACTCCTACTCACCACCCTCTTAAAATTGTGGATTACATCCAAAACTGTTTTTAAAAATCCCATGAACAAGGTTATATTAAAAGATGAGATTACACACTCTATTGAACAAAACTTCTAACTGAAAAATTTTTAATGTGATTTTGAATTTTGTAAAGCAATGATTTTTCAACGAGGATTCCACAACATTACACTAAACGTTGCCATGAAACGCTGAACTAAGGCACAAAAATAATAATTAATTATATTTATCCCTCGTCTGCTCCACACCCAAAATTCTCTACTAAAAATACTTCAACTAAAACTTAACTGGTAAGAGAAAATTTCTCATCCAGAAATTACATTTCATTTAAGATAAGTCTCTCAAAAATTGTTGACACATTGCCCAATGGAGGAATGATATAGAGCAGGTTAAGAAGATAAATGTCAAATTATTTTGTATGGACCTGTTGGCCAGTCAATTGAAGGCAACAGACCCTTTCTAAAAATAAAGTTTTTAAATGCATTTAATCAAATTACAAAAGGAAATGCAGTTCACCCTGACACCTTTTTTACCATCTCATGAAACACAGGTTAAGAATCCCTGAATAATATGAACAAAAGGACTAATGTGAACGTTTCTCTTAAATTCTACAATTTCTGATGTACTAAATGAGGGCAAGGCTATTTGATATCTGAAATATATCATCAGCTTCCATCAATCTCCAAGAGCCAGTGGTGAAGCTTCCTTATCTGCATACCTGATGTGACAGTCGTGCCACCCATTACCCAGAAATAAGATGACAAAAAGCATGTGTGCAAAAAAGACAGCATTGTTTCACTCTCTTTACTGGAACATCTCTTAACTAGTCTAACTTTAAATCTATGACACAAAATAAGACATAGAATGAGGTGAGGCAACAGTAATTTATTTTGTTCATTAGTGTGTCCTCATCAGAAAAAGATGGAATAGCGTTGTTGTTTTAAAGGCTTCTGATGGAGAATTTTTTAGCCTTACAAATTGTCAGATGTTTCCAACAGCCAACCATGGACATTTTGAAGGTTGAATTTGATCACTTCACACCTGAGTCTAAACATTCAGGGTGTGATCAACTGTTTCTGATTAGACTTGATGCCCTTTCAGATTTCAATGGAATATTCAAGATCATTGTAATTTTTTTTTTTTTTTTTACTGTGCCAATCAAATAAACGAATCGTATGTTCATGGAAAATGAAAAGTTAAAAAATATCAAGTGGAAAAAGCTGACAATAAGATCTTCCTGCAGCAAATATACAAAAGTAGCCATGATACTAATAATGTGGATGTTGAACTACAAATGTGGATCTGGAAATGTGGATCTAGAAATGTAGATAATATTTAACAAAAATGCCATTTTTAATGTACATCACATATCAAATTAGTATAGAGGAAATAATCAGTCCAGTCACAACCATTCAATATTAATACTTCCTGAACCAATGAGAGGATATCATGAAACAATGGGTGGACATTATGAACCAATGTGTTCACATCATGGAACAACGTGTGCTCATCAAGAGACAAACTGTACACATCAAGTACATTCATCCTGCTTAAAATTGTTGGCTGAGGTTATCAATATAAATTTATCGTTTTGACTTTTCTTGACAACAAATATGATTTAAAATTGATTTTTAATAAGTAACAGGCTCCTTTGGGTACAAACAGGCAAATCAATCAAGTTAGTGACTACTAAAACTGTATAAAATTCTGACTTTAAAAAATGCATACCATTAAAAAAAATAAGTTTAAAATACACTTGTTGACCATTACAAATCTTCACAGTAAATTCCAGCCAACTGTGCGACGTGCCCAAATTATATTCCACCAGAAAACCAGTAAAAATATTCGTCATTTTAAATGCTGCAACAATTTGTTTCATAATAATTCGTTATTTAAAAAAATTTCATAACAATCTTACTTAAATAAGAAATTTGAATTAACTTTTAGTACATTTGCACTTTCAACAGCTTATAAATACATCAACATAAAAAACTTTCAATTTAGATATTTTTATAAAATTCAAATTAAATAAATCAATAGAAAAATGGAGTTTGGCGATCTAATAAAATTTTTAATATTCGCTATGGCAAAACTTTCAGATTAATTCAATTATCAAAACATATAAATTTCAAATTTGCATGCCAATCTGTAAGGATTTTATATAAACCAGTTTTATAGTAATTATTCTATCCAGCTGGATGAAAGCTATTAAACAGTTGTAGTTAACTAAAATTAAATAGTTCAACTTATTTCTAAACTGACGAGGTCACAAAATTCCTAGGGATTATTGGGGCATCAAAACTTGAAAAAACTGGCAAGATTTCATTTTCCATCTCAGTACTGTAATATACCAACTTAACCTTGCCTCACAGCAATGCAGATGGAATGATCAACCCACACATAAATAAACAAACTGAAAGTAGAAACAGACAAAATGGTGACACAATGACATCTACTTTACAATGAAATAAATTAACACCTGTTAAGTAGGGATTGCTAGGGGAAATTACTGCTAGTATGTAAAAGTATAACTGATATTTACACCAATAAAAATAATTACTGCTGTCGCAATTATTCTAGATTTTAATTTTTTGTGTACAGGGTTTTAAATTATTGTACAGAAGTTTTGGAAGCTTTTGTACAGGGTTTCAACTCCCAGAGGTTGGAGTGTATGAATAAAGGAAATATTGGATGCTGTGGAGTTAAAATATAAAATAGCTTTATAATACAACATTCTCACATAAAAATTAGAAATTCAGCAGCAGAATATTTCAAAAACTTTCAAATAATTCATGTACTTGTATACTTGTTTCATTCTCATATTTAGCCTGGTTGTCACGGTTTATGATTGTATATCTCAATATACAAAGTTAGGTTCAACCTTCATGTCAGAAAGATATGATTTCAAAATGGGGCTTAAGATCATGATGGCATTAGAAACGTTCAGTTGTTTTGACAACTCGTGGTAAGATAACATAAATTTTAGTGTTAATAGTGTTAATTATCAACAACTGATGATCATATCAATAATAATATCCATTACAACAGATACAATCATCTCTAAACTATAATAATATCCATTAAATCCATTGTTTCAATAATTATATCCATGCCAGCAATCATTTCAATATTTGTATACCTCACGACAGACACAATCACATCTATAAAAATGAACAGACACATTTATCTCTATATAAAAAATCCATGAAAACAACTATATACATCAAAACAGAAACAGTCATCTCAATAATAGTATGCTTAACACATACATAAATTAAAATCAACAATAATACATTTCAAATATAAATGCCCATGTCCAAATTCCATCAGCACAGTAGTCTGAGGACTTTGAGAGTTTTGATAAAACAGCAGCTTGTGTAGAGTTGTGTATAGGGACTAGGAATGTCCTACATTCATTTGGTAAATGCAGTCTTGACCTCTAAACACTGGAGAGTCCTTCTAAGAAAATTAATGGCTGACGGCTCAGTTACAACGGAAATCTCTTACTACGGATGTAGCAAAACTGTGCTATGGCTGCCACCATCGCCAGAATCTGGAATTTTTTAAGATTCTTTTCAAAAATATGTCTAAATGGTTTGACTGCATAACAAAATTAAACAGAAAGGCTTTCTTATTGTACCATGTGGCAGTGCTGTTTATTTTTAAAAAAACAGAAATGAGAAAATTTGACAACTAAAAAGTTTACTTATTTATTCAAACTAAATATATCAGATATTTTTTTTTTTTTAATATTTATGACCCACATTCAAACATTTGATACTGCTATACAATATTAATTAATGTATCTAAACAAACCAGATAAACATGACCTCTACCCAAGCCAACATTACATCTTGCTATGTCAACATAACTACTAGCTATGTTGACATAAGCTCTGTATTGTCCAACATTACCCCTAGAAATGTCATTAACTCTAGCCATTTCAACGTTACCTGCACACACCCAATGATTATTCCAACTCTAATTATATCAAAATTACCTGGATAGAGCCAATAGTTATGCCTGTAACACCAAGAATGTACATGTTCTTGGTAAACCAATACTCCATCTCTTCAAGGCAACCCTATGGAAAATTGTATCAACCGTGACTATGGCTTTGGGAACAGTTTCCAAATTCCTTATATTATATTTTATTTTGGATATAAAAGAAATCATATGTAATGTTACAAACCACTTTTTTTTTCACAATTGTTGTTATTGAAAATACAAATCTATTAAAATTTATTGTTTATTACATCTTCCAGGCAAAGTTTTTAAACAAAATGAAGTGTCCACTTTATGTACATCTCAACTACTACAGGTGCAAACATAGGTATCCCCTTTGAGACACTACTACAATAGGTGCAAACATACCCTTTGATACAAAGTCAAACGACTACAATATCATAGATGCAAACGTACCCTCTGATACCACTGAGAAACATCTCCATATCCACACTGGGTCGATGGCACAACACAACAAGACTCGGGCACCTTCTGTTCATCAGGCCAGGCCTGAATGTTGTACCAGTCTGTGTGGTTGTCCACTCCACAACACTGCAGCTGGTCATCATTGAAATCGAACACGGTCAAAACAATTATCGCAGGTAAACATACAGAGACAGACTGACCTAATATTGTAAGCTACATTGGTTACAGTTATTCCTTCTTTTGATATTCAAACTGATAATTCGGTGTAAGGTTTAACAAGATTCCAACTTACATCTCGTTGGAGGGCATCTAAAGATGTGGACCAGCCTTTAGAGTCCTTGTCGTACAGGGAGCTATTCTTAGACTGGTGCTCAATCTGAACCTCTGTCCTGTAATCATAGCGTATCCCACCAGACAACTCACTGTGGATAACACCTCTGACCTGTGTGTGTTATAATTTGAAATGTTCTTAAACGTTTTTGTAAGAGACCTGAATAAAATTACTTGATGTACAGCAACATTTTTGTTTTAACACCACCAGACAAGGACATTATTTCAAAGTTTCAATGTTCTTAAAGTAATGTCACAATTATGATATTTAAAATTTTATCCAATAGAAATGACCCAACAAACATGAAACAATTACCTCTTTTCTTGAGACAAACATGTCTTTGGACCAAGTTGTAAAATAACTCATTTCTAATTTCAGCTAAGCTGTTAAAAGATAATTCAAATCTGCCAATGCTTAATGTAATAGGTCGATAACACATCTAATAATGCCATTGTTTGAATGGGAGGGATCAAAAAATTACTGATGAAGTATTCTTTTGTGTGCCATCACTAATGATGTTTACGAGATATGTGAATGAATTTACTTCTTCAAGTGGTATTTCTCCAGGTATACTGGACCACTGCAAGTGTTAGCTGTATTCGTGTTAATGATTTTTGTTCTCCACAATTGCATTTAATCAGCTCTTGTAAGCTGTCAGATGTTTTGATTAGCATTGTGGTGTAGTTCTGAGAATGGTGTGCAAGGTAATCTGGACTGTACAAATCTTATAAGTTTCCTGAAAGGTGACTACTGTACCTGAGTCTTTGCCCTGTTGTTGTGTTTCTAATGATCCAATCAATAACCAGAAGAAAAAGAACTGCATACAGTAGGCACCTCTACTGAATCTCTTACTATATTATATTTAAATGATGATGTGAACTGTCTTACATGCATGACTTAACAGATTAAAATTGGTGATTTTTTTTTTAACTTTCCATAATAGGTATGTTGATTGTAACTTATGTTGATTGTGACTTACGTTGATTGTAACTTGAATGTGACTTATGTTGATTGTGACTTTTGTCGATTGTGACTAATGTTGGTAGCAAATGATTATTTATTTGAGTTTTTACAGAAATTGGTTCCTACACCCAATGGAAGACCTACTTCTGGTCGCCTGTTGTGACATGGAAGCAGGATGACAATGAATAAATTCTGCTCCTGATAAGTTTCAAGTCCTGTAACCTCACAGCTATATAGCTTTGATAAAATGTACATATGTCATGTATGACAGGGTTAACTGTACATATGTCATGTATGACAGGGTCAACTGTACATGTCATGTATGAAATGGTCAACTGTACATGTCATTTATGACATGGTCAACTGTACATATGTCATGTATGACAGGGTCAACTGTGAATATATCATGAGACTAACCAAGTGGCCAAGTTATTGATCTATATAATTACCTTGTCTTTCATAACAAATCCCAAGGAGCCAGCAGTTATCTCTAAAGCAAACACCAGCAAAACTAAGATAAAATACTGGGAAGAAGAAGAAAAAAACATTATTTGTTATATTGGTAGCACAGATCATGTGCATTTCACGCCAGATTTATTACCCCACATTTTGAGTAGGACTTACTGAATAACATGATTCATTTTCAAAGCAAATCAAGATTTAATTGTTCATCATTTATTTTCTGACATTTTATTTGTGCTCAACTGATAAATAATTAAATATATTATTTTAGGCTTACATATTACTGAAATTTAGTACAACTGTCTGACTGACAATTATAATCAGACATTAACCAACTAACCAACAACTTACCACTATAATCAAACACTAACCTACTTACTCTTATAACAAGACACTAACCTACTTACCCTTATAACAAGACACTAACCAACTTACAAAATTACCCCTATAACAAGACAATAACCAACTTACAAAATTACCCCTATAACAAGACAATAACCAACTTACCCTTATAACCAGACACTAACCAACTTACCCCTATAAGAAGACACTGATTCTCTAAGAATGCTCCACAGCAGCCCATGAATCCAATGACCAGAATAATGATACTAGAGATGATGCACAGGGAGGAAGCACTCAAGAAGGCATGTGTTGGGATGACTGATGTGCTAGGACCTCGAGATGACCACAGCCAAATGGCCACTGCCAGGACGCCACAGCCTAGGAGCTAGAGGGGGCAAATGAAATGAGAAGGTTAAATTGGATATTTTTAAAAATATTTTTACAAGAATCAGAACTGGTTCCACCAAAGTGTTTATTATTCTATTAACAGGCCCAGAAGAGTATATAGTTTTGCTTTTTTGTTTAAGCTGTATCAAGTATATAGAATCTGCATACGCTGTGTTAAGCTTCTGGTACTCCGATTGAAATGTGCTACTGTTCTACTCTCAAGTTAAATGGTTACACTTACCCACACAAAAATATTAAAGCCAAAGAACAGGTACTTGACCACACTGAAGCTCTTCTTCTCTCTACCCATTTCACTTGGTGGTGAGCTGGGATTTCTAAGGAATTAACATTAAACAATATATTTTAAACAATGAAAACTATCTGACTGTAGAGAATTGTAATTTACTATAGGAGTCTGTATCTGACTACAGAAAATTGTATCTGACGATAGAAGATTGTATCTGACTACAGGTGTATCTGACTAAAGAAGATTGTATCTGACTAAAAGTGTATCTGACTAAATCAGACTGACTCTGACTACAGAAGATTGTCTCTGACTAAAGATGATTTCATCCGAATATAGAAGATTGTATCTGACAATAGAAGATTGTATCTGACTATAGAATATTGTATCTGATTAAAGAAGATTGTATCTGACAATAGAAGATTGTATCTGACTATAGAATATTGTATCTGATTAAAGAAGATTGTATCTGACGATAGAAGTTTGTATCTGACGATAGAATATTGTATCTGATTAAAGAAGATTGTATCTGACTATAGAAGTTTGTATCTGACTGTAGAATATTGTTTCTAACTAGAGAAGATTTTATTTAATGTATCCCATTGCACCAGCCCATCCCATTCATTCCTCCTGTCAATCTGATAAACATGTTTTTTTAACTTACAATTGATCAGAGGTTATGTCATTAACAAATTGGATTTTAAAATCTAACAGTTATAGACAAATGAATACTGAATGTTATTAACAGCTGACCTTGTGCTGCTTTCCATGTCAGTCTTCTGCTGTGACATGGTTAGAAACTAAACATGTGAGTCCAATTAAGATAACACAACTAACTTAGCATCAGCTGTTTATTTGCTAACACAATGGTCTATTTAATGGAGGTGGTAGTATTTACTATTAAAAAAAAAAGTATAAATGTCTAAACAAGTTTTCTTCGAATGTCGTATATTAATTATGCTTGAATCCTCTACATCAGCTCAAACAAACAGAGCAGTTGAATTGGACACATCAAATTCTTTGTATTAGAAATCCAAGAGGAAGACTGAAAGCGTGACACGCCTCTCAGTTGACAAGGGACATTCTCAGTGAATTCTGTTACCAACACAAGACAAGCCTAGGGAATAGTTTAAATGTCTGGTCCTAATCTAATGAGCACTATAGAAATGAAATCACACCCCAACAAATACACTGTAGCGTTAGGAAGGAATGTGAAGGCAGAGAAAATTTGACAAAACATCTGGGCAGCTGACAGCAGAGGGCAGGCTAGCAGAAGTTCATTTGTTGGCTCAAACACAACAACCAACACTTAGATAAACACCAGGGTTATCCCCTAACAGGGCTAGGGCAACAATCAGAGAAGGGCATTCAAAGCATGGGTCAGCTCTGTCTGGCAAATTGAAATACATGGCGGTTATCAATTCACACCTCCCTGTTGGTAATAGGATCATTTGTTACACTGAAATCACTTTAAAAATTATTCAGGAGGTCATGATGACTTATGAGATGCTTTGTCTTGTTGTATCACATTGTCATTGCATTATAGCAGGGTTTCCCAACTTGGCATGCATTTCATATTGTGCAAGGAACAAGGGATTATAAGAACAGAGGAGACATACATTTTTAAGTTGTGGATATAATGTTAATATTTTTTTTTAATGTTCTTTTTATGCAATAATTTACAAGTTAATTTTTCTAGTTTCTACCGTTCAATTTGCAATGAAATAAATAAATTTGAAGTCCATTTCTTTAAAACACATTATTGCTTTTGTACTGTGCAAGACTTAGTAAAACAATTTGTAGGGGGTGCAAAGTCTACTAAAATAATTTACAGGGGGTGCAGAGTTTAGAAAAGGTTGTGAAACACTCCAAATACAGGATGAGATTAAAGGCTGGTTTCATCAGAGTGGAATAACATTAAATAAATAGTCATGCATAATTTTCTTTCATTCAAAAATATGTTTTTAATGGGTGATCTTTCATTACAGAACACATACGGTGACTAAATAGTAGTCTTTTAGTAATAGAAGAGGTGACATTTACTCATGTCAGATTACAGTACCCGTTCACTCCCATGACACATGATCTCATTAGAAAGACATCAATGATGCATTATTACAATGCAACAAGAACTGGTGCCTTGTAGACATCATATGACTAAATCAAAGCCAGCTTTCAATTTTTTACAGTTAATTCAGAGGCAAAGTAAACTGTGTGTCCCAAACAATTTCACCTAATTTAAACTGAATAGCTCGTTCTAAAAGAAATACTCTTTATGATGTCTGTGAAAAATTATTTGAACTAAAACACAAGTTGAAATAAATGGCAGCTTAGATTATAAGATAAGTAATTGTTAAATAAATTTGCAATCAATAAACCAATTATCAGTTTATAGTACCTTTTTAGCCCAATTAACACCCATCTTTAATCACTACCCAATTGTACAATAAACATTTAACTTAGGAGTTAAAGGCACTGCCACAATTATAAATATTCCATAAATTATAATGTAATGACCAATAAATGTGCATTTCATTAAATAAAACATTTTCCTACAAAAGTAGCCCCTGTCAATGTTCATTGTCAATATGTTTGTTATCCAACATAGTGGGGAAAAGGCAAAGGTGGGGATAAATGTTGACTGGAGAGGTACTCCAAAATGGGGGAAATGTGCACAGCAGTGTAATCAAACAATCCTACAGACTGGGAACAAGGAGGTCAGATATTTTAAGGAGGCAGGCATTTTTGCAACAAAAGTAAAAACTGTCTTTATTGCATAATCAGAACCAGAATGTCTTGCTTTGTTTTTAAGTTTTGAACCAGGAATTCTCAATCTGGGGGTTCACTAATGCATTTCTTAAAAAAAGGGAAAATACTTATGAAGGATTAAAGATATTGAATCTTTGAATATGATAAAAAAAAAGAAATATTTGGTTGAATTTGCCAATTTTATCAAACTTTTCTAATTTATCTAAAGGTTGCCATAACAAGAAATGCATTGGCAATATGCTTAAACCTCTTGACACGGAGCCTTTTTGGACTATTGGTGCCAAGAAATCCGATCCCGTTTCACAGCCATGCACTTACTTTGCAAAAAAGAATTACTAAAATACGTTATTAATTTTACTTAACAAATATAAAACTATAAATATATATTTATATAAATATATACATATTTGTAGGAAATTGAATAAACTAATACAATATTTGTAAATCAAACTGATATCTTAACATTTATGCAAATGACATATCCTGATTTGCATAATTTATGCGTGCAGTTTTTAAAAAACTTAGAATAAACACATCATCATACTTGCAGAATTTTGGTGAATTTTCAGAGTGTTGAAGCCTAATTAAGTCCTAACAAACATTCAAATGAAATTTAATTTAAAAAAACAGCATAAAATATTCCACTAGGTGTGTGTAGCATATGTCATCTTCTTATATGCATATACATAGTTGAAGTATTAGTTTTTATTTTATGTCACATCCAAAATGAGTTAAATTATGATAACAATAATTATTTATTTTGTTCTATTTGGTAGTAGAAATATTTAAAATTATTTAAGAATCTAAGAATAATTTTCTTATTCCTGCCGAAGACAATAGGGGACTGGAACAAGCTTCCAAAAGCAACAGTTGAGGCGGCTACACTCGATACATTTGTGTCTATTGCCTCCTGTATTCCAACCCCCAGTTCATAACACCACTGCTGAGTCGCCCTTGCAACCAGTGAAGTATCCCATTGAAACCCATGGACAGTAACATCGCAAACCTCTCTGAAACATAGGAGCCAGAATGATCAATTCATTGATCGTGGGCCCTTAAAATAAAGAAGAAGAAGAATAGGTTCGGCTAAATTAGATTTGCTTATCGTTTTTATTATTAAAAGGGCATATCAAGCCGGGGGATCCCAGGTTATAATCCCCCTGCTTGCGTTAATAATGTTTAAGTTTTCTAAAGCAGTAAAGCAAAACCACAGCAGTATGAAGTGCTCAAAGGATGGATATGCCCCTGATTATATAAAACTAGGGCTTAACTGGGTGCAGCTTTTTTAGACCCGGTCTGTGAATTTCGAGAAAACATCTGTTGGGTCGAAGTGTTACAAAAAAAGAGTTAACTTCTCATTTTTATAATATATGCCAGCCTTTAAACAATAGGCCTACAGACAGTCCTACACCCTACCTACTGGCAATGACAATAGGCCTACAGAACCTACATTCTACTACAGTACAGACAGTCTTTTACTTTTAGACAGTCCTACAATCAGACAATCCTATACCATGATACCATGTCCATGTCGCTCTTTGTTGATTAACATAATATTCGCCTGCCCCTAGAGAAAACAAATTCAGCCTTTTTACTGGAGTTCAGACATATCACACATGATACATGCATTACAGTTTTTTTTTTCTCCATTCAGTGATATCAAGTATTCAATATAAAGCATAAATTAGCATATGAGGTATGACGTCATGGGTATTATTCTCAACAATAGCCGCATATGATTATGACAACACAAATGATTATTTTGATGTTGACGTGGAGTAAAAGGGGCCGGGGGGGGGGCGTCATTGTGAATTGTATGAAGGAGGTAATTGTTCTGGTGTCTCTTACTGCTAGCTTAAATAGTTTATTACTATTCAACTTAGTATTACTTAGTTAGTCTTAAGGTAAGAATAGTCATAGTCATAAGTTAAGAGTTAAGACTAAGAATTAGAGAATTTTTTTAAGAGAGGCAGAGGAGCAAAGAAATGTTTTTTGGTATTGTTTTGTTTCAGCCAACAAGTTCTTTTAATTGCCAACACTTACTAATTTATCACAGAAGTAAATATCTGTCCGTTGAAGATAAGATATACATGAAATTCCCTTCGTAATAACAATAAAAAGAACAGTCAAACAGTACCCTGATTTTATAAAAAAGTAGCCATATTGAATACAGAATGCGATGACTTTCAGGTAAGGGACACTACTACAAAAAAAAAGTGCCATTTTCCGTTACATTTTATAATTATGCTGTCCCCTATTGTTCGTAAACAAACAATTATTATTTTTTCCAAACTTTTGCGCTCACCGATATTTATGAACGGGTGACTCTGGGCTGTTTAAAGAAAATATTAAAAAGGATTAAATTGCTTTTTTTTTTAATTTTACGCTGTTTGAAAATTCTCTTTCGTCGGCTCTGATATAGATCTACACACATCACAATTTTCACAATTTGACATTCACTTAAATTAACTTCAAATTCAAGTGATGTCTGCAGTGGTGTAAGTGTAACACATTAAGTTCATTAAGATTGACCAATATAAAATAATATTATTTCAAAAAATGTGTGCGAAATTGCCATTAATAACCTTAAATTAAAATCCTAAACATTCAAATAAAAGTGTTACTTTCACTTCACGTTAAATATTAATAATTAATATCGTATCTTTAACTCTATTAATTTATTTTTTAATTACATTTATATGTCAAGTAAGTTTAGTAAGTAGGCTTGTTTAAAGAACGATTTCAATGACTCATTTTTAAATAAAGGTTTTGTTGTGAGCTCACTTGTAGAAGAAAGGCGGTGGCAAAGTGTCCAAATCTAACTCGTGCTGGTAGTAATCCGCCATTTTGGCTACGTCTAACCGTGAGTAGTTTTCTCTGCTCAAGCTGACGCCAGGCAATCAGTCAGGTAAAGGCCTTGGCAAGAAGACCGCCTACTGAAGGCCAGATGTGTGGTCAATGTTTTGTACACGTTAGTAATCATTCGTTTACCAGGGTCTTTTGAGCTCAATGAATTCCCTGCAACCACCTACCACCGTATAGGTAGAGTCTTAAAAGCATTTTTTTACAAGTCAAAAAGTACAATCTTATATTTTAGAGCAATGGCCTGAAGCAACATGTGGCACTTTGTAATGGGGTTTGTGTTGACAAGACGAAAAAAAAACACCCTGTGTGTTTGATATTTGTAATAGGCTATGTTGTTTACAAAGGGGGAATAGAGGAGAGAGGGGGATGTCCGCTCTGGGTGGCACTTTTTTTTTTAATTAGGGGCGGCATTCTCGGCCAACAACTGAGTTGTTTTTGTTTTGTTTTTTGTGGGGAGGCAAAAATCTTGGCACACCCCTGGGGCATTAACCCTAGTATATCCCACTGTGTTTACAGAATGTTTGATGCTTACACAAGCAGCCTTGGAGAGACAAGTAATCGATTTCGTTTGTTGTTGCGTTTGAATGAAATCAGAGACGTGTCTACACGAATCAGTTAGTGTGTTGCGTGACTTGTGGAGGCATTTTGCCACTTTTCGGGTCTTTGCCCCCCCCCCCTGCAATCAATGCTGCTAGTTTAAATTATTGTCAACATCACAACTTGTGGTCCCTTGAGTATCCGAGGCCCCCTGCAGCCGCGAGGGTTGCAGGGCCCATGCGACGACTCTGGAGTAAGTCTACGTCACTTTTTTTTTGGTGGGGGAGGGGGGGCAGCCCCCAGATGTACTACTATACCAAGGTAGTCCCTTGAAAGCCTTCCTTTGTGGACCTCTTGGCCCTTCGGCTCTCTCATTAGTCCACCGATCTTCCCTGCTATGACCAGGGATATCACGAGCCACCAATCGGGTTTTGTGATCTGACGAGAAAAGATACTACACTTTGATCTTAGCCACAAGGAAGAGAAGTCTAGGTGACGCATTTCTTTTTTTTCTTTTTTTTTTGGTACACGAAAAATTCTATGAGATTCGTGTCAGATTCATCAAGATATTACATGTCTGTCTTTAACAACTTGGTATAGCTTATCTAACATAGCAATAGCACAAAATTTTTAAAAGCAATTGTGGCACATGATAATAATAATAATAATAATGCAGTGACCCGTGAAAACATAGATTACACCTGCAGACATGCAGTTTTCAATTTAACATAATTTATAGCATCAACATTAAAAATGTACCAGCCCAGCATAGGTTAACTCCCCATGCTTTAGTCACGTCATAGTTTGAAAAATAAAACTGTTATGTAACAGTGGGTGGCATGTCCTGGCTCTGGAACAGCAAGCGAACCTTGAATGAATAAATGCGTCTCTTTTTTTTTTTTTTTTTTTTTTTTAAGTTAATTATTTTTTTTTTTTAAGGATCTTTTATTCAAACAAGTTCAAGTAAGATAAATCTGCAATTTAAATTCACTCACCCAATTCTCTCCCCCCCCCTTCCCCAAAAAAAAACAAAAAAAAAAAAAAAAAAAAAAAAAAAAAAAAAAAAAAAAAAAAACAAGACACCAAAAAAAAAAAAAAAAAAAAAAAAAAAAAAAAAAAAAAAAACAACAACAACTAATCTGCGGTTCCACCAAAGACATGAAATAAAATATTTGCACACCATATTTGATTGGCGCTTTATTCGGTAAAACAAACTGGCCTATGCGAAATAGAGCACAGACCCAAGACGAGCAGAGGTCTCTAACTGGTTGGTAAAAGAGATGGTATGGACTGCACAGCATTTAATGGACTACACAGCATTCTATGGACCACACTGTTGTCTATGGACTACACAGTATTCTATGGACTACACAGTATTCTATGGACTACACAGCATTCTATGGACTACACAGTATTCTATGGACTACACAGTTTTCTATGGACTACACAGTATTCTATGGACTACATAGTATTCCATCGCACAAGCACTGAAACGAATAGATAGACCTCAGATCTTAACTCCAAGCGTATATGCCACGGTGGCACCCTCAGAACAACACACATGTCCGCTGTGAAAATCTTAACAGATTTACAACAACTTCAGATTAGAATAGATAATGAAATACTATCTGCAGCTGAATGCTTTCTAACACGCGGGGAAAAGGTTTTAGAGAGTGTGATTTTTGTTTTTATCAGTGCAGTAAAATAACTGGAGTGTGAACATCTCCTAACTGAGAACAAGGAAAAGATAATACGGCTGGTGCAGTAACGCCCACGTTTGGAGAGTCTCAATAGGTCAACGGTGCGTAATACTTTGATTGACATGGAATGTCCAGGTGTAAGTGCAGAGAGCTGCAACCTTATAAGCCACATAAATGACAGCAGCCTCGTAAATGACCGTTACCTTATGAATGACAGATCAACCTTTATAGTGGATACAATTTTCAGTCTCTACAAGAACGGCTCAGCGACACTTAGCAAAAGGTTGAACGGATTATACTGCACACAAATCCTCTCCTCTACAGCAGGGCACACTAATCCTGCGGCGCAAAACTTGAGCCATTTAAAGAGCCCTACGCCTACACGTACAACAAGTGCGCCGCAGTTTGTCTGGATTGAAATCGGTTCCAAACATCATGGTCTTCAACAACTCAGTGCCAACGAAAGAGACTGGGAGATAATGCGATGGTACACCACTCCCCACACCACTTCCTACACCACTGCCTACACCACTTCGTACACCACTTCCTACGCCACTTCTTACACCACTTCCTACACCACTTCATACGCCCCTTCTTACTCCACTTCCTACACCACTTCTTACACTACTTCCTACACCATTTCCTACATTACTTCCTACATCACTTCCTACGCCACTTCTTAAACCACTTCCTACACCACTTCCTACAACACTTCCCACAGCACTTCCTACGCCCCTTCTTACACTACTTCCTACACCACTTCTTAAACCACTTCCTACACCACTTCCTACAACACTTCCTACACCACTTCCCACACCATTTCCTACGCCCCTTCTTACTCTACTTCCTACACCACTTCCTACACCACTTCCTACGCCCCTTCTTACTCCTTTTCCCACACCACTTCCTACGCCCCTTCTTACACCACTTCCTACACCACTTCTTACACCACTTCCTACATCACTTCCTACATCACTTCCTACATCACTTCCTACGCCACTTCCTACACCACTTCCTACACCACTTCCTACACCACTTCCCACAGCACTTCCTACGCCCCTTCCTACACCACTTCCTACACCACTTCTTACACCACTTCCTACACCACTTCCTACAACACTTCCTACACCACTTCCCACACCACTTCCTACGCCCCTTCTTACTCTACTTCCTACACCACTTCCTACACCACTTCCTACGCCCCTTCTTACTCCTCTTCCCACACCACTTCCTACGCCCCTTCTTACACCACTTCCTACACCACTTCTTACACCACTTCCTACATCACTTCCTACATCACTTCCTACATCACTTCCTACATCACTTCCTACATCACTTCCTACACCACTTCCTACGCCCCTTCTTACTCCACTTCCTACACCACTTCCTACACCATTTCCCAAAGCACTTTCTACACGACTTCCTATCCTATTCATAACATGTTAGTTTTAAAAATGATAATAAGGGGGAGATACTGCATTCAGATTTATGTAGATGGAAATGTGTGATTTTAAAAAAAAAAGTTAAAACCCGAAAAAAAGGGCGCAATTAAAAAAAATGAACTTATCGGGAAGAAGACTTATGTGGGTTAAAAAAAAAAAAAAAAAAAAAAAAAAAAAAAAAAAATATAAAAAAAA